GAGTGCTTTATTAGATTATATCACTTTCCACTGGCTGCAGTTGTAGTTTCTTTTCATAACCTAATGGTGTTTGCCCTTAGGTTCCATTACTATGGAGGAGATCCTCACTGTCTTACCATTTGGAGGAACCTTTGACTTGGTCCAGATAAAAGGATCAACGGTGAAAAAGGCATTTGAACACTCCATTCACAGATATGGACGCATGTCTGGAGAATTTCTTCAAGTCTCAGGTCTGTCTTCTGCCCAGTGTGCTCCTCCACCAACACTGTTTCATCCATGGTCTCCTAGAATAATATTAACTGTTATCTTCTCTGATCGGGTTTGGTATTAAAGGAATTCAACATTTTATTAAATATGCCTATTCACTTTCTTACCAGAAGTTGCACGAGAAGATCAATACCACTTCCTTGTCTGTCTTGTGAATATGAAGCTACCGTCAGCACCTGGTTACCTTAGCATTGGATAAAGACTTGAAACGACGAAACAGCTAGCCTGGCTCTGTCCAAAGGCATCAAAATCTGACAAACAAATGTGTTGTACAGTGTTGGGAAAGTTCATTGAAAAATGCAATCAGTTAACTGGTACTCATTACCACTCATTTAAACATTTATATTACTCTACTTATTACTTGTTATTAGTCACTCATTACTTTCATTCTTTCCAGCACCATTAAAGGTGCCTTTAAACACCTCCAAAGACCCCACACAACCACGTGTCACATATTTTGAATGTACAACATATAGAAATACAAAACAAGTCATTAAGAAAGTAGTTTAATGTAACAGCAATTAAGATATACGAATGACAACAGCTAAGCTTAGCCCTGGAGACTGACCGCGCCAAATGCCATCCTCAACCTTTGAGATACCAGGATCGGGAAGTGCACTTCATCTATTTTTGAAGAGGCTAACTGCCTCCTACCCCTGTGTGAAGCTAATGCATACCACATCCTCTGAGTAATGCATTACTGCCCAAAAACTGCAAATCAACATGTTACATCTTGTTTAGTTAATCTGTGTAAAAACCAAAGGGTAAAAACATCGACCTGTGGTTATACTGGCTGTCAAATCCTGCTTTGTACAGAGCCAGACCAGCTGTTTCCCCTTTTTCCAGCCCTTATGGCAAGCAAACTGGCTGCTGGTGGTAGCTTCACTTTCAACGAGAAAACTTTCCAAGGCCTTTTTTAAATCTTCCTATCTAGCTTTCAAAAATAATTCACGTCCCAAAATGTCACACTGTTCCTGTTTCTATTGTTAGTGTTATCCACGGGGAACAACAATTACATAACCAAAAGATAACATTTCTTCATTTTCTCTCCAACATTTTTAGGCATTCGTGTCAAGTATGACGTCTCCAAACCAGTGAACCAGCGTGTAGTGTCTCTGTCCATTCTCTGCACTCAGTGCCGTGTTCCCAAGTATGAACCGCTGGAACCGGAGAAGACATACACAGTGGTCATGCCTTCATACATGGTGAGCGGAGGCGATGGCTTTACCATGATTAAGGACGAGTTACTGAAGCATAACACAGGTGAGCAGCAATTTGTGTGTGAGATGAGATGAGTATTTATTGAAATTAATATTAATATCATTAATATTGCCAATGTGGTGTTTTGTTTGATGTATATAGCTAAGCAAAGAGACGGCAATTACCGACCAGTGCTTCAGATTAGAATAATAGAATAATAGAGCTGGCAGACTGTTCAAAAGCTCACTCCAGGTCTTTAATATCTCCCCTCCCTTGCTTTTCCTTCCTGTTGGACTGGACTCCAAGCCCTGCACTTTAATGTTGTTTTAATGATAAATGATTTGAAGGGGCTGGTGAGTGTTGTTCATTGATTACATGTATTTAGTCATGCAGGGTGGCACTCACTAGCAACCTTTACATGTCTCTGACTGGACTCTCTGAAAGAATATTTGGAACATGAAGTCAAATTCATAGATTATGTATGGACCTTTTATTACAAATTGGAAACGGTTTAGGGGAGCCATGAGTACCATGTGAATCTATAATTAACTCCTCCCACTTTCAGTATGCTGTGTTAAAATAAGGGCTGTCAGGCCTATTTAACCTCTGATCTTACACTGTTTCACTACAATAAGCTGTTTTCTAGCTCAGATTTCTGAAACCAGGCTCCTCGTGTAACATTGAAATGTCAATGCAAAAAAATGGAAAAGTCTGTTTCAAAAACAGTTCCGTAAGAGCCCGCAGAGGAAAGAGGGTTCGCCACACAGCACAAAAACTGATTAAAGGCAGGATGTTGTGTTGCACCCAAGAAGTTTCCATTCCAAGCACAGTTCAGTGGATTGTGATGATGGTTCATTCTACTTTGCTGCAGATGGGAAAAGCCTTTAATGTTAGCATTAGCTCTTTTTTTGTGGGTTTTTTCCTTCTGTGCAATAACTGATATTAAGAATTTAATAATGCTTTTTTATGCATTGGCTTCCCCTCATTCATCGATATATTTAAAAGTCATGTTTCACTCACTTGAAACAAATACAAGGACATTATGACTGAAGCTGTGCTACAAGCAAGACACTTAGGGGTGCCATTTATCCAGCAGTGATTGCTGAGGAAAGAGTCACTGTCCACTCATATAAGAGGGTCACCTACATAATACATACTGTTAGTATACTTTTGGGACTCTTGGCGAATTTATGTAAACTCTCTCTGGTGGGAATGATTTATCGTAAGCAGATGTATAGTTTTAATATGGCTCTGCAGCTGTCTCTAATGCTAACAGAGCTTATAACACTGTGAGGAAAGACAACAGGTGGCTCTGAGCATGGATAGCAAGGAGATACACCTTTATTTGGATAATATCAGAAAATACCACCCAAATACTAACCAAGTTATTATTTCCCATTTTCTCTTGCAGGTGATATGGACATAACTGTTTTTTCCAAATACATCATGGACATGAAGCGCGTGTACCCTGCAGTGGAAGGCCGGATTACATTCAGGAACTCAGCTGTCTTTACTGCCCACAGCCTTGGCTTGTTGCTGCTGAGTTTAATGCTGTCCCTAACCCTCTGATTGGCTTAGTGCACTCTGGGACGCTGTGATAAACTGAAGGGAAAGTTTGGCTGCTTGGAAACTCCTCTGGGACCTGGGTAACTGCCTTTCCATCTTGCTGTCTTTGACGATAACTAGAAGAAAACATGATTGCAGATTCAGCCTCAGTGTATAATCAGTATCCAGGCAGGAACTTATTTTATCCCAAAAATCAGCTGATTATAAGGACTGGGGACAAGTTCTGTATAACAAGCTTTTACACTCAACTTTGCAAGAACTTAAATATGAAAACAGTAAATATGTATTTTCAAATTTACCAATGCTTAAAAGTGCATGTAAGTATTTTTTTTTATGAATGTATGAATATCTAAAAATGTCTCAAACACACAATGTTTCACTATATGTGTAGAAAGAGTCTAAAGTATGCGAAGGAACGTCCAATTTCTCAGTGACATAATAAACGGAGGGAAGCTTCTATATATCTTCCTTCCATCAGTAGCAATGAATGGAAAAAAGCATTTATGCACCTGCCTATATATACTGTTTGGTTGGAATTTTGTAGACCGTCTTCTATCTTAAACTCAAACACATTTCCTTTGGCACTTATTCAGATAAAGAACAAATACAATTTATTATTATTATTATTATTATTATTATTAAAATAATAATAAGTATTACATTGTTCTATCTATTTGTGTATGTTCATGAAGTAAATCAAGATACAGAAAGTAGTGCATTGCCGCATCAATATATTGTATAGATATGATGCCAGTTCTGCCGGTGTTTTGTTTTGTCTCATGACCTCTACCTTTCTGAGCCTCTCCTGAATGTCTCAGTAGGCACATTCATCTATGCAGAGAAAAAGCAGCCAGAGCTGATAAAATAAAATACTTGCAGAAGTTCTTCTGTTTTTGTCATCACATATGCTTGCTGCCTTTGTTTACTCCAAAGTCACCTTTATGAAAGTACTTATGAAGTATCCTGTAAGCTTGTTAGAATAAAGTGTAAAAGGAAATGGAATTTTCTCAGGTCCTTTTTAGAAGTATTGAAAAATAAATGGTATCATGAGAACATTGTGAATTTATATTTATTATTCATTTAACCTTAGTTTTTGTTATGATTAATTTGAATTATGATGTATTAAATTGTGTTTTTTGTTTCAATTAATATTTTAGTGTCATTCAGTCATTTATTTGCTCGTATACTGTATGATGATGTATGGTGAGTCACTGCATCTGTTTTAATCTCCAACTTGCTGCAATGTGATGCCGAATTAGTCCCAAGGTATACAGAGGGATCACTAAACCGAGAGTGGTAAAACATGGAAAAACCACTGTAGACTGTAACACACTGTCAGTACAACTGAATCAAAGCTGTAGAGAGAGCTGCTTTGGAAAGAAACGAACATTCAGTGTTAGGGAGAAGTCATGTACTTGTGTGTCAACTCTGTCTCTTCACATACATTCATTTATTTTGGATTCTTTTTGTAATTGAACTCATCTCCTTACCATACTTATATTTTATCTCCCCTTTCCATTTTACAAGAAAAATAGCACCTTTACCGTACAATTCCAACTAATTGTGTTGCTAAGAGGAAGTGCGAGGTTTTAGCTGGTTAGGCATTCTTAGCTATTCTAAAATACTGATAAAAAACTTTCTATACATCCAGAAACCAGTTGGATTTGGATGTCTGCATTCTCACAAATACCAAAATAGTCTAAGATCAACAAGACAAACTCAAAGCTTTTTAGCTAAACTGCTGAAACATTGTCAGAGGCGTTTGGTTCCCACTTTACCAGCAGGTATGACAGAGTATATTATATGAGGTTGTAGCAGTTGAGGTATTTACAACACCACAGCGTAAAACAGTGTGAAAAACTAATTTAATTTAAAGTTTTACAACAGCTACAACTGACTTCAGCTGTCCAACAGATGCATGCTTTTACACCGTTTGCTTTTATAGTTAAGAATAATTACACAAGGACCACTGTTTTAACATTTATTTATATAATTTATTTTACAAAGTTAATGACACATACAGCATGAGGAGCCTCGTGTTTCCTCTTCTTGCTGTGGCGGGTATGCAGAACAGATGCTGTACATGTGACTACATGTGAGCTACATGTTAGTGTCAGGTAACCAGACCAACATAAGTCTCTGCAGTAATGTAGGCTTAGTTTAATTCCTCCCATCAGCTCATGTCCTCTGAACTGTTTATTTTACATCCATGGGGCCATCACAGAGGTCTCCTTCTGTACCTGCTGAGAAAACAAAAACTTAAAGTAAGCACAAAAATATATGTAATTAGGGACCGAGCCAGCGACCGCTCGGAGGCGCTATTGTAATTGAAGGAATTATTATTATTATTTGCTGCCTGTTCGTCTGCATATTTGGCGGTGGCAACATGCTCGAAAACTCATGGAAATTTGCACAAAATTCAAACGTGACAGTTTTAAACTCATGTAGGCAATTGTCCCCGTGGACGGGCGCTGCCAAATGGTGGAGCTCCGCCCCCCCGAATCAGCCACCAAGACGCGTAAGGCCGACATGTACGAAAACCGGTACGCATGTGTATCGTGATAAAAGAAGTAGAAAAGCCTCTTGGACCCATACCTCAAACTAAACAGGTCGGCCATTTTGGATTTTGTGGTTAATTCTGGTGATTTTCGCCGTTGCATTGCATGCAGGGAATTTATCGGATCGTCTCCACATTTGGACACAGCCATCGAAAGACATTCACGATTAAAAGTGGTGCTATTTACGACATTCCGTCGAACAGCGTGGACGTGGTGTGGCGTCCAATTTTGATCCTTCGCCATGGAAACAGAAAGTTGTTATAACTTCTGCGTACATGATCCGACTGCAACAAAACTTCACGTTTGATAAGAGTCCCGCCCTGAACACGTCTATTTGATAATATTCAGTAATAGTGATAGCGCCACCTAGTGGCAACAGGAAGTATCACGTTTTATACTTTCATGTTCTACTCCTAGCAGGATGATCAGATCCAGCTGAAATTTACTAATAAAATGCAAAACACATTGTTGATGATATGTGATGAAATGTCCAATTTCCAATTGGCTCCAAACTTCACTTGTCTGATGAGAGTCCCGCCCTGATCTCATCTATGTGATAATATTCACTAATAGTGAGAGCGCCACCTAGTGGTGGAATTTATTTCACTTGAATGTATTTCTCCCAGCAAATTGACCACATCTAGCTGAAATTTGGTCAGAAGACCCTCAGAATGTTGACAATGACATCTTACGAATCTTATGAATTTTTATTGAACCTTGTTGCCGTAGCGACACGGCGAGCATCACCTTGTTGTTTTAACATTTGATCGCATTTTGCGGGGGCTAAACAGGCTCAACACCTCATGAAACTTGGCACACATGGCAGCATTTTATATTTCATATGGATGTTGCCTGTGGGTGTGTCAAAATGGCTCGATAGCGCCCCCTACAAACTTTCAAAAAACCAGCCCTGATGTCCTGTTAAGGGGACATGAATGAAAATTGGCAGGCATATATAGCAAGTTAGGACGTACAAAAAAAGTCTTTGACCAATATCCCAAACCCCACAGGAAGTCAGTCATTTTGATTTTAATTTTCACTTTCAGCGGCCATTTTGATTTTGATTTTCACTTTCGGCAAATTTTTGCCACGTATTTGAACGAACTCCTCCTAGGGAATGTATCAGATCTGCTTTAAAATTGGTCAGTACAGTCAAAAAATGTTGCTAATTAAAATTTGTGCTATTTGTGACTGTACGTCGAAGGGCGTGTCCGTGGCGTGCCGACAAAGACAAAGCCAGCTTGAATCAAATGTCAGTGATGCCATTTCCGGCATTTCAGGGCTTTTTTTTTATTTTAACTAACTTCTCCAACAGATTTTATCGGATTGACTTCAAATTCCATCACTGCAATCTAGACACATTCGTGATCAAAAGTTAATCAAATATTTACTGTGCGCCAAACGGCGGAAAGTTGCGCTATTTGTGACTGTATGTCGAACCACGTGCCCATGAGGACGTGTCAAATTTCGCCGATTCGCCATAAAACAGATAGTACTCGTATCAGTGTACAATGTCCAATCTCCACTAAACTTCACATATTCTGTAACAGTCTCACCCTGAACACGTCCTCATAACTTCAGTGTACATGGTCTAATCTCAATTAAACTTAACATGTTTGATAAGAGTCCCGCCCTGAACACGTCTACATGACAATATTCAGGAAGTAAGCGCTGCGTGGCAACTTTGATCTGATTTACGTGAAATTTTCATGTTTCGGTACGCACGTGTTACAACAGCACGTGACGCGGCAGCAGCCCACCCAACACTGCTTGCAGCTTTAATATGTTTGTTGTTGTATATTGATCAGTGGAAATATGTATTATCTTATCAATAAAACTATTTATACCGTCCAAAATCCAAAAGTAGTACATTTCAACAGCCCAAAATACATCATTATGGGATATTGTAGTGATGTATTTACCTTACACTTACACCATACACTCAAAAACAGCTTTAATATCACATATGCACGGAAAAAATAAAAATATAGGAGATAAGGTTTCTATCTATGGAGCAGAAATCTGAATTTTTCTCACAATCTTCAAGATTGTATCACTACAACCAATCTCGACTGGACAACAGATGATTTATCCACAATGAAATATCAATGTAAGACATTACATTTCATTACATAACAGGTTGTTTGACCCTGTATGATAGAAGTGATTAAATTAATCAGTGTAGAGTTCCAATAACTTAAATGGAGTCATAAAGAGTTTGGCATACCTATTATTAAGCATATTAGTATTATCATTATATTCAACTAAAGAAAATAGAGTGATTTAAAGACTGAACTTTAAATCTTTATGCTTAATGCTAGGAAAGGGGTATCTGTGATCTCTCATATAACAGACATTATCATACAGTCATTAATTCGGTCATTTGTTCATTTATACCAGGTGCAATAATGGCTTTTACAGATATTATATAGCTTAATAAACACATTTATTGTTGGTCCAAATAATGGACGGATGGATGTTCAGAGACCATATCTCTTTGGGAACCAAGGCTAGCATCTGTTTACCTTGTTTAGCTCAGGGAAAAGTTCTTGAATGGCAATGTCCAACAGCACATATGTCAGCTGAGGAAGGCAAGAAGCAAAAAAGCAAAGAGAAAATCAAAGTGATCTTTAGATAAACAAACAGTTGAATTTTGATTATGTTTTTTCACATCCCATATTACACAGGCATGCGGAGCCCACACAGGCTCAAATTCACTTCCACTTATTCATTGCCCGTCACATCTTCCCTTAGATCAATTTTTTTTGTCTTGATGAGATACGTTTCCCAGCAGTGAAGTACAAATATTGTGGGAAAATGAGGAATCTGTTCTACATGCTGTGTGGGAGTGTGTGTGTGTTTGTGTGTGTAAGTGAGTGTCCTTGTGTACCTGTTTGTTGAGAACTGGCTGTTGTAGTCCATCGAAGAGGAGACGCACTCCTTCATACTTGGCCTCTTCTCCGATGCATTTCCCCAGGAAGTCTAAAGATAAATGGCGTATGAATTTCCCACCTGGCACAAAAAACTGACCACTTGTGTTCACATCAGTACATTTGTCTTTGTGGAAATTGGAAATGTCTGCAGCAAGGAGGTCTATAAATTACAAAACACCACCTGGAAGAAGTAAAATGAATACCTGGAATATAGGTCATCATCTCCTCAAATGTCTTCTTCGCCCTCTTCTGCTTGTCTTGAGTCGAGCGGGGCAGACTGCTCTCACAGAAGACTGTGTCTAGAAGGGAAAAAAATACGTACATAATTTCAACTCTTAAATTAAACTAGCATGTTTGTGAAATACACTTAAATTTTTTCTCAAGAATTAAAAGAGAAGATCAATACCACTCTATTTATCTCTGAACTAACCGCAGCGTACCTCTAAGCAGGGTGATGAGTGACACTAGCCGGTGCTCCTGGACCACCTGGTTCAGTTTGTACTGAAGGTAGAAATCTGTATAGGCCTCTAGTGTGTTCTTGAACAGGATCCTGCCGGTCATTAGCAGGTGATGCAGCCAGTCAGGGATGTGGAAGATGACTCGGCCTGACAACCACGGAGAGGAGAGAAAGAGGAGAGAAGAGAGTGTGCGAGTGAACGATGGGCTATTATATGGGATATTGTTTCATAATTATATATATATATATATATATATATATATATATATATATATATATATATATATATATATAATAAACAAGATCTTACTTACCCACAAACATTAAGTAGTCATACACCCCTTCAACAGTGATCATTTCCATGAAGTAATTCTGATTGTGTCTCTTCTCAGTCATCTCTGATCGGTTGGCGTTGTTTTTGAAGAGGTCATTGAAGAGCTACAGGAGAAGGATTTACATAATGTTTTAAGACTGAAGCCTATTTAAGACCACAATACTGGTCCAGTTATAAAGTTGGATTATATTGTTTCAACAACCTTTTCTGACGGAACCCTGCTGAGGTAAAAATACGTAACTTTCTTCATTTTAATCTGTATGACAAGAGGTTAATTGTTTTCATCCCTGCATTTTCCACCAATGACACATTTGTTCCAGGGAAGTGGACAATTGCATTAAATCAGTCAGAAATAAGTTACGTAGTATTTAAACGGATCAAAACCTGTGAAGCCTTTCACAATCTCACCAATTCACCCTCTAACAATTTGGCAAGTTAAATGCGCAAAGGCTTTTGGCGAATAAATGGGGTAAGCCCAATTGTTACAAAAACTGTATGTGCTGACATGATTTTTCCCCTAATGTGAATAAGAGAATACCCCAGCAAGAAAACTTAAACTAACACAAACACTGGCTGTGAGGTTGCCTTTGCAATGTCTGTCTTTATTTCTTTAAGGCTCAGTTAAACATCCCTTTATTTAAAGACAGCTGGCCCCTCTAATGTATAAAACAGTTAAACTAAATTTGAGCCTAAAGTGGGGAATCGAACAGTACTACATTCATGGGGCCTAGGCGTGCAGAAAGACTGAGAGAGGGAGAGAGAGTATAAAAAGACTCAAATCCACAACCTTCTTATCATTTTCCGAGGTGGGGCTCAGGATAGTCAGCTCAGGGCGGCTGGGTTTGGGTTTGGGAGATTCACAGGAGTTGAAGAAGGACTGGATGAAGGGCTCCAGATGCTGCCCTTTCTGACAGAGAGAGCACAGGACACAATCTGTATAAGTTGCAATGACAGTATGATGTCTCTTGTCAGATGTATTTGTCATGTAAAAATATTAAATGGACTAAGGTTCTAAGACATACACAAGTGGCAGCTTAAATTTGGAGTGATATGATGGTGGAACATTTGTATTGTGGAGAGATGAGATAGAAAGAAATAGAGAACATTTCAAGACCACAGACACACACACACACACACACACACACACACACACACACACACACACACCAGACAGGAGTGCATTTCTTACCTCTTTTATCAGTTTGCTGGGAACTGACTTAATGATTTTCCCTGTGAAACAAATACTTTATCTCAGTGATGTATGGTTCTGTCACATTTCATCACATCACTGCCACCCAAGGTCAACATTTCCACAGTGTGTTTGACATGGTCTGCAGTTCAAACATAATCAATCTCACTGGTCTTTGTTATATCTCATACTGTACCCAGGTTCACGTCAGGTAACATCTTGTCCAAGAACTGAGACTCCATACTATGAGGGGACAGGAAGTCAGCAAGGAGCTGACTGTTGCTCAGTTCCGGGTGCTGTAGAAGTTTCTGCAAAGAAAAACACATGTTCATTTATTACATAGCTTTTATTTAACCTGCATTATTCAGAGGACCATGAATCAGTGGCTTTTAAATATATTAGACATTAGAAGAAAAGCTGAGTAGAAGCAGGTACAATATATTAATTAATTAATGTTGCCACATTAATAACAGATGTTTTACTCATTTTGTAAAGACACAGACAAGGACCATACCTGTGGTATTGTATGTTTTATAGCTTATCAACAGAGTTTATATTACTGCGGACCATTTTTTTTTTAAGTTTTAAAAATTAATAAACTACCAAATTAGTATTTTCTGTCCAATTTATTTCAGCATGCTATAAAAATTCAAATGTGAAGACTTATTTTGACACAGTGAATTCTTGGACTGCCGTTCCAGCGACATAGCACTAGGGATGGCAATGTCGGTCTGTCTCAACAATTGTATTGATGGATGGATGGACTGAATGTTGTAGACACTAATCCCCCCTCAGGACGAATTGTAATAATCACCAGGTCAGAATTTCAATTTGTGTAATACTGGTTTATGACCAAATTGTTGCAAAAATAATGACATTCCCATTAGTCTCAGCTGTACATTGTGTTTCCTGCTAATTGTAAATGTTAGCATGCTAACATGCTAAGATGCTAATGGGTAAAAAAAAAAAAACACCGGCTAAACAAAGGACAGCCTGACGGAGCTGCTAACACAGCTGTAGACTCTTTGTATTGTTGTTATGCCAGTTATCTTTTGGTGATGCATTTTGGTGAGCAAGGGCCATTTAAAATTCTTTCCCTTGTGTTGCGTCAAGGACACTCTGGTTGCAACACATCTGGGATTTGCGATAAGCTGCTGAAAACTAACTACACAAATTCATGAGCGATGTTTCAAGAACTAAATCTCAGAAGACAAACAATCTGCAGTCTGTGAAAAGGATGACATAGGTCATTTTTTCTGCATAAATGTTTGACAGCAAAGTCTCAAATCCTGTTAGAGGATCCTTGAATGCATCACTACAAGACCCTAATTATGACTTCAAAGTCTGTGTTTTGAAAAGCTGCAGCTACCCTTGCGATCAGAAAGAGAGAATTCCTTCTCCACTTAGAACAGTGTTTTAACCTGTAGGTGGTTCTGACATACAGTACCCTTTGTTCCTCACAATTTCATAATTATCACTTTTCAAAGGTTATTTTCTGAAACTGGGTGTGGTGTGTTTCTAGAACAGTTCAGACATTTCCAGTTTCATCTTGATGTGGTGTTTGTCTGTGTGTGGGAGTATGTGTGTGTGTGTGTGTGTGTGTGTGTGTGTGTGTGTGTGTGTGAGGTCTGGGCCTGAGAGGAAGTAGAATTAAAGTGAAAAATTAAAGAAGTGAATCCGCACCTAACCATCACAAACAAGTAACGGCAAAATGTCCCTCTCCTCAAAATGCTTGGGCAAGGGTGCTTGTTCCTACTTCATTTTAGAGGTCATTAGCGGAATTGTATGCAGAAGACTTGAGACTTGTTTCACATTTGAATTGACCACTATTTAGTGGGAAATTGGCGCATTTTCAAATACGACTCGTGCAATTGTTTGACAATTATGAGCCCACTTTCATCACACAGAGATTGCAGTCACAGCTGTGTGTCTCAATAATCTTCATATCTCTGCACAGGATCATTATATAGTCAGAGATTTCTTGTTAAACTCTGGTTCATCTTGAGACCCACCAATCTGTATTGAGTATATATGTCTTATGGCATTCAGAATGAAGGACTGATGAAGTGAAGTGTCCTATCTGCTCAGACATCTACCTGAAGGTACTCCTGGAACTCCTCCCGCTTCGATGTGAGGAATTCGTAATTTTTGGGGCCGATGATTCTCTTCGAAGGTAGCTGCGCATCTGGAAATGAGCCTACAGAGGGTGTAAGATTTCACAGAAAGGAATGCTTTAATACGAAGAACAAGCTTTCTTTTACTTTGACGGGAAAATAACAGCTGTGTGGTTTCCAGTACGAGTCCCGAAATGATGCAACAGGTCCATTGAACGTGGGTCTAAAAATAAGGTTCACTTAGAAGTAGGAACTTGGTTATTCCTTCCTTATGGCATTGAATGAAAAGGCAACAGTGAACCCGCGCTCAAAAAGCAAACTAGAGCAACAACATGCAGAAACCTTACCATGAAACTCAGTGAGCTTTGATTCAAGGACATAGAACTCCAGATATCGTCTGTACACAGACCAGTGCTCAGTCTCATGTCCCACTGCAGATAAACACAAACAGTAAGGTTAATAAGTTAGCTCTACTTTCAGTTAGCATCACTGCGATCAGAGGGAACTATGCATCATGACAGCTCGAAGAGGAAGTGAGAGGTAAGTTCAACCTCCATACTGATGTTATGTAATGGTCAGTAAGCTGCAAACACAATGCTCATATCAACCAACTTATTGCCCCTAGTCTGTGAATAGTTATACCAAAAGAAAAAGATCAAACACTGCTTTTCTTTTTCACAGCTTTTTTCTGCAGCAGTCACTTATATTTTGAGCAAAAAGTGACTGCATTTAGCACCAGAGTGTCACTGGGGGCAAATCTATGAGGTCTCAGTTATTGGCAATAAGATGCTCTTGTCAGCCAGAGCCCTACTTTTTCCATTACAGGAATAGTTGGACATTTTGGGGAATGTGCTTATTTGCTCATTTCTATCTGAGAGTTATATGAGACGATCGATACCACTCTCATGTCCGTACAGTAAAAATTAAGCTCTTGCAAGTAGCCGGTTAGCTTAGGTTAGCATGAAGAAGTAGTGGTTTTACAGGGGGATATCCAGGAATACTTTTTGGCCAGGTGCAGTGACTTCCTTGAGCGGTCCGTGAGGTTAACAAGCAATCATGGGGGTTGTAACCTACAACTTCCCTGTAAAAACCCAACTTGTAATTTTTATATGAGACCAAAAAAGAAGAGAGGTTATACTTGTGCTTGTTTGTGATCAATAAATAATAACCAAAAAATAGCAAGGCACACTGATTTGCAAAAATCAAAAGGCCTTTAATAAATGGGCTTATCGCCTATGCGTTTTAACTCACAGTCTTCCTAAGATTTGAAACCAAGTTTTTAAGGGCTTGAAACATTTATGTGAACGAGAACAGTAATATCACACATTTTTGGGTGAATTTTTACTCTGAATGCAAAACTATACCCTACAGAAAAGGACGCCACAGCTCACTCTAAAACAGCATGCAGCAAAGCAGAATGGCCTCTCTCAGACGACAGTAAGTGAGACAGATGGACAGGTCTGCTCAGCCTAACCTGCCTTCCGGTCGTTGCGCTCTACATCGATACAGAACACCGGAATCCTCTCCCTCTTCACATCGTCATCATAGAAATCAATGTACGGGATGGTGATGTTCCAGGCCGACAGGTTTCGGGGGGTGCTGGGGGTGGAGGCTGCCTCCAAGGGGGAGTCATCCTCCAGCACCATCGTAGCTTCCTCTACCTTGAATGGAAGGAAGTGAGAGAGGTTAAGGTCAAGTGAGTGAACAGTGCTGTCTCCAATCTTAAGATTACAACTGGAGAGTTGTCTTTTAATTGTGAGTTGATGTTTTGATTTTGTACTGAATTAAAACTCAAGTGCGTTTATCTTTTTCACCTGTATTTAACATACAGTGTCCACATGTCAGATCTGCTGTGAAAGAAAAAAAAGGTTGTCTGGGAATAAAGAAAATGCCAGATGAAAACACAGCACTATCCACTTATACTAAGTACAGGAAGGGCAATTATATTTCCAGTAAGCAATCAGGTCCTGTGTTACTGCACCAGTTATGGATGACAGACCATTGTATCTCTATTTATAGCTGACTTTACTATACACACTATTTGTAAAAAAGATCCCAAACAATTAGGTCCCTTCCATACATAAAAAAGGAAGAAGTAATTAGGTCAGAGGTGTACTAACAAAACACACCAGTTACAGTTCTCTCAATCAAAGCAGAAGTTTTGTAAGTAATTAAGTCTCACATGTGTTTTTACATGAAAATACTTGCTCCTTGAACCTATTAGACCTTCTGTCAACTGAACATGCTGCTAAAACCAACAAAACTTTTCTGCAATTTATTTTCCATTTGATGGAATTTTTTCAGCCATAAAAAAAATAATAATAATAAATATATATATTAAATATAATTGATAAAGCTTCAATGGACCACTGGATATACTTCATGTATTTGATTATGTCAAAACTGTGTACAAACTTGTCAAACTTGACTAACAAGATTCAGGGAAGTACTGGGAACAGCACAATCACTTTCTGAAATTAAATGAATGTCTTAGGAATCCAGAATATCAGTGATCCAAGACTAAAGCCAGTTTTAACATATGGGAGGCAGATTTTGTCAAAAGTGTGGCTTTCCTTTCTTTACTCACCAACGCCTCCAAGTGGTAACTACAGTGATAGTCTAGAGGAGTGTTTTAGTTTGAATACTACTTTTTGCAGTAGCTTAATTGCTTAAGAAAAAGAAACAGGAAAAAATATTTGTAATTACTTTGTCTCATTTTGAAGGATAGCCTTAAAGTTTACATGTAACAGAAATCAGAGACATCTGTCAGAATCAAGAACACACAGGACCGCTTGATTTGGGTTTAAATCATTTCAATCTAAACTCTACAGGAAACAATCATCCTGTTAGCATTATAAAAAACAAATATTTTTAGATCAGCCTCACCATATCATCTTCTCCCTCCACCAGCCCATAGGATGGCAGCATGGCTCCCTCCATGGTTGTGCTCTTGAACACTCCTTTGATCTTACTGCCAATGCGGCTGATCCCAAAGGACTCGCCCCTCTTTGACGTGTTCCTGCAGGCCCAAACAGGGAGGTTATTAGACTATGCATGATGGAGAAGATGTGCATGGCTTCAGCAAAGCGCATGCAGCTTGAGAGAAGTCACAGGGAGGGAGCCATAGAGGACGAGAGGGGAAGCAAGGAGCAGCGTACTGAGCGTCGGTATCATGACAGTACAATGGGGAGAAAAAAGCTAAGGTAGCCAAACCCAAAGCCAAAATGTCACATCACAGCCATCTCACAATGAAATGCCTGGCTTCTTGTTTAAAGGCCAAAAGCAAACACAGCACACAGCAGTGACTCATGAACAGATGTCTAGTTTGGAGGGGATCACAAATTTTGATAATCGCAAAAATGTCGTATAATCAGTTACCAGTCAACCCGAATAGGCACATGACATCAAAGGTGCTCTGTGTAAGTAGCTGTTAGATCAAGTTAAATAAAAATTACCATATGAGACATGGTGGTGTACTAAATACACAAGAAACTGAACATTGAAAAGTCACTGCATTGTCAAAAACAACAGTCTTTAGCCTTAACACAACGAAGTTGGACGAAGAACACATGATGAATAAAAACAGGACCCCATGCATCGGTCTCACCATGCAGGCGTCTGGTTGGGACGGGGGGGTCACATGGGGGGACAGTAGACAGCATGACACCACACTGAGCGACCTGTGACACACGGATGGACCCTGACTTACTTGGGTGATGAGTGGCGGTGGGATAGCGAGCCGTATGGGAAAGTTGTGAACGTGGACTGGGCATGGAGGGAGTTAAAAGATGCAGGTGAAGAGCTGCCAGAGGCGGTGAACATTGAGGATGGGGACTCAGGGCTCCAGTCCCAGGAACTATAAGCAGAACAGGGTCACGTCCCCACGGGCAAGAGGAGGGAGAGGACCGTGGATCATACCAGGGCAGGCAGTATGGTGGTTACAGAATCAGAGTGGACATACAGTCACAGACACAGCACGGTGGTGGCATTACATAGATGGAGTAAAGGGCGGACAGACGGGCAGAGTGGAAGGGGGGGTTACTGAATTGCAGACATGGAGGGAGTTGAGGCTTGTAGTTGGGTCAGTGTTTATGAAATGGAGTACCATTAAGAGCCTTATATTTTATTTCTTCAAGTGGCATAATTCATGCTGCTTGGAAAACTGCCTTGATTGGTTTTTTTAACCAGATGAAGAGACTGAAACACAACCAACCAACGTCCTTCCGGAAGTTTCCCTGATGTCTAATTCTGTAATTTTTAAAGTTTGAAAAATTTAACAAAACTAATATTTTATATTACGTGTGTTAAGCAGCATGATTCCTGATTAGCTTGATTAACATATGATTGATGATGACTCATGCTATGATTAACATGATTAGCTGATTAAGGTCACTTTTCTCAATCTTCTCTCATTTGCATTTACAGCACAGGCACCAAATAAAACATGTATTTGGGGGTGAAATTAGATTAGCAATAAAATTATACATCATTATCACATTATCAACTAGTGCTCATTGAACTAAAGCCCTGATTGCAGCGGGTCCAGAGCACAATGAATTTGTTAAAAAAGGCAGCATATGTTCCTCTGTCAGGAAAGAATGACATGTCATTTGTATCTTGCGTGCAGCAGCACTGCTCAGCCAGCCACTGGTTTGATCAGCACACTGATGCCTTATACTCACCGAATGTCATCCAAACTGAGGCTATTTCTGGAACAATATGCACAAGGAGTTAGTGGCAGGGCCCCGTGGCCACATACACACCACACCCCGTGATAGAAACATGACAGACGATCCCTGGACTCAGGTCACTTCACTTCTAATTTAAGTTTCATAATACTGCAAACTAAAAGAACTTGTATTTTTATTCCTAATTTACAGCTCCTTTAAGGCTGTATTAAGACCAAAGTTAATGTGAAATCATATTTGTATGTGATGTAGCTTGCACATACTGTATCCTGCCTTTACAATGCAGTGGATATTGGGATACAAGGAGTTGTGAACATTAAAAAAGTGAGAGGATTAAAGGAACTTGGGTTGAATGTGGGTGCAGACACAGCAATCAATTTTCAGCCTAAAACAATAAACTACCAGTGAAGCATTCTGTGGTTTACCTGCTTTCTGTGGCTACATTATCAAACGTCAACTGTACATTAGTTCAAATACTAACTAATGAATCAATATACTGGTTATGGGTCAAGATTTCATTTTGTTGCACACAAATATTGTGAAACCTACCTGCTCATCCTGGAATTCCTGGCAGGGGACTCGGCCCCTCTCAGAAGCTGGCGGAAGTACTGCAGAATGACATTGGAAGAGCAAATTATGGTACATAAATTTCAAGTCAATCAAACACAGCATGTGAAAATTATGAACCAGTATATATGTGACACCAAATAAACTGTATAATACTGTATGTATCCTCTTTAAGTCTTAATAATAATAATCATAACTGCACTGTTTATTTTGGAGCAGGAACAGGAGTGGCAACAAAATATCAAATAATATCCTGATTTTCTAGACACACTATTCATGCAGGGCAGTGGCCTGCTGTGGACAATGGCTGAGCACTGGTCCAGCCAGCTGTATTCAATGAAACAGCCTCTGAGGGGTGAAATTCGGCTTGGCAGCTTGGCATAACGCCAGAGTTGGCTCATTGGCCAGTTGCGCGTCTGGTATTGATGACATGGCCGGTAGTGGTTGGTGGCTGAGAGATCGGAAGAGGATAGCGCAAGGGAGTCAATAAATTCCAACCTAACTCTAATTCCAGCATTTGGCAGATACAGCTTTGTTACTTTTAACACAAACAAATCATCATTAACATTTAGCCTGTGCTGAAGCGGTCATATTTTAGAAAAAGATATGCGTTTAGAAATCGGAGCATGACAGACGGATGCAATACAGATATGAAAGAGATGATTCATAAATTGCGTAAAGCCTCAGGCATGTGTTGTCAAGCTGCATGACAGAGAGTTTGTTGAGTGATTTATTTCTTGCTAACCTCGTCACTGTGACAAAACATGGGGGTGAAAACATTCTCCAGGAGGGACAGGACGTGTTCATAGGCTTCAAACAAACACCTCATGGTCTGCAGTTTCACCACCTCTGGATACGGACCCTCTGCGACTGCAAAGTAAACAATAACCACATGTTAATATCCTATTTGTTAAGGTGGCTCCAGTATGTAACTATATGATTCTAGGAAGATCCCTGTCACATACTGTTGCGTATTTCTTCCACTATAAAGGGGTCGAAGCGTATCTTGTCAACGCTCTCGTCCAAACAGTAGGTCTCATAGATCTTCTTCACCTCCTCATGAAGCATCATCTTCTCTGAGTCAGACAGCTCAGGGCTCAGTATCCTATCGTTGAATTCCTCTGAGAAGTTAAGAGAGTCAGACATCTCAGTCTCACTGTGTCAGGGCCTTAAAGAATGCATCAGTGTGGTATCCGTGAGTGTCAAGACTATGGAGTCTTTAGTGAATTTTGCTGATGATTGACTGTGTGTGGCTGGGAGTTGAGAGAAGTGACAAGTAATTAAACTAAAGCAAGAGTAATATGACACTTACTTTACCTAAGTCGCATAACACATTTCAAACTTAGATTTTGTGCAGGTAAAAGCAGCCAATGTATTTTTTGAAGACATTTGAAAGGATTGGCACACACTTACCAACTGCAAGGCAGAACTGGAGCACATGGACAGCCCCTTCTTGCTTCAGGAAGTTCATGAAACGGAAGAGAAGGTCTTGTTGTTCTCTGATTTCCTTCAACTCCAGCTTCAGCACCTTGATGAGAGAGAGAGCATGTAGAGAAAGACAGAACCGAAATCACAGTTAAAAAAGGCAGTGCTCTTTAAACTGTTCAAAGATATCTTGTTCCAACTTCTTGTTTCAGTTTCATGAGGCCTGATATAGCAGACTACAGTATGCACAGAGATTACAATATGTACTAGATATTATTACATTAACTGGTGGCTTGTCGGGGAAGTGGAACTTGGTGGATACACTCACAGAGGGCTTTTTGTTGCGAGTATCGGAGTACTTTTGCAGGAAAGGAACCAACGTTGAAGTGGGCTCTGTGGCTTCTTCAGGCTGGATGGACGGAAGTAAATAGAAAACATGTTTATGTTATTCACCCAAAAATTACATTCAGTCTGCAGCAATATGTTTAAATGCATAGAATGTAAATGGGACTATCTGTGCACATCAGTTCACAGTTCAACATACACTTACAGGGGAGTTGTCGATGAATATCAACAGCAAATGATTCACTGTGTCCTGAAATAAAAACAAACAGCGGAAGACTGTAAGTACTTGGGATGTTCTGAAAAAGTCACATCTCTGTCTCTCATTTGCATTATTGACATGCTTTCTAAACACAAAATCAAATACAGTCTCAGGCGGTGCCAGCAGAAGGCTTCAAGTGACAACAGTTTTAGATTCAGAAAATTGGCCCTTAATGTGTCTACACTCACAGGATCAGCCAAGTAGTCCATTGAAGGAAGGAAGACAGAACCAGCCAAGACTTCTCTTATCAGGAGAGTAAGAGATCTGAGAGGAGCGAAGAGATAAGGCAGCAGGAAATAAGAAAATGAGAGAGTAAAGAGTGATCCTTATCTAGTTCTGTAGAAGTGTCACTGCTGTCAGACTTTCTCCTTGGGGGACTCTGATGCTGGGATGTTTTGTAACTAACTTTGAAAAATATATAGAGGCACTGTGTGGCTTTTAATGTAACAGAACTGGGTTACCTGCAGTCTGTAGCCTTGGGTGGCAGGATGTAGGGGAAGAGCATCTCAGTCAGCTTCCTAAGGTAGAGAAGCTCATCTCTGCGACTGCGAAGGGCTACATGGAGGTCCGGACCGTATTCCTCCAGTGCTGCTTGTTGAAGAAACTCTGTGTTCTTCACTACAGAGAAGAGCAGAGCATTTTTTTTGTGTGTGTTTTTTTTTTGCTTTTTATGGTGAACACAAAGAAAAGACTGAAAAGTTGTTGATGCATATGAGCGATACCTTTCTGTCTTGCTTTGCTGATTATTTCAATGTGCTTCATGGAAACTTTAAGAAGTTTTTCTGTGATGAGGGATGCCACATCCACCTGAGAGAGAATAATGATTAAATAAAAAAATAATTCATGTTCAGTCAATCAGCATCCAAGAATTTTAACTCTGCACAGGCTAATTTATCACCTTCTGGGTTCTGCGGACCAACACGGCTGAAAAGAAGCGCAAAGTCACCCTCAGCTCGTCCACAAATGCCTCATCATCTGTGATGTCTCTGAAAAGAAACATGGTAACAGCAACATCTGTCACTGCATTTGAGACATTATACCACCTCATTTTATATTATTACATGCAAAAAAATGCTTACCTATACCAAGGATACACAAAATTTTCCAGAACCAGCTCCAGAATCTAAAAAAAAAAAGTTAAAACAGAACAGGACAGTGAGATCATTTTAAAGTCTATTCATTTATTTTATAAAAGATATGTTTAATGCATTCATGTATTACCTCTGAAAGGGAAGCATCCACCTTAGAGGGAACTTTCAGGTCAAGCCATGGTTGATAGTTTTCCAGTAATAAAGTCGGTCTATCAATAAATTGAAAAATAAATCAGTGTTACACATACAGTAAAGAAGAATCCTTTCTGACAACTAGAGGGCAGTGTAACACCTTCCATAACTTTTTTAAATTATCAAACAATGAATGCATGTTGACAAGATAGATAGATAGATAGATAGATAGATAGATAGATAGATACTTTATTTATCCCGAGGGAAATTCAAGACAAACCAAATACAATAAGATTAACACAGCACCATATAAAGAGTCAATTCATTTAACCCAGAGGACTCTTCTTCCAGTTTACCTTGATGTTTGCTTCCAAATTCAGCATTTTTTAAATTTTATCTTTACTTGCACAAGCAAACCCAAGATATGCAGTAGCATGGTAATATATACATGGAATATCCTGGAGTGCCCTCTTGTGACTGCAGCATCTGCACTGTTGACACAAGTGAAAAGGTCACAATACAGCCACTTTCTCAACTACCACTCCACCAAAACATAACCTGGTATCTCACCTGTGCCTTTTGCATTTGATTTTGCCACAAACGGCACAGCTGTGGCCAAGTGGAAATAACTCCTGTTGGTATGACTGCAAGAGAAAGTTAACATAGTAAAATAACAGCTTTTAAGGTGGGATCCTTCACTGCAAAAGTGCCTTAATCGTAGGGAATTTTGTGAACAACCCATTAAATGTTATATTGATATTTTCTTCAGAAAACACTGTAAAGAAGTCACAAATGTGAAATTTGTATTATTTTTTTTAATACCTTGGTCTTTGGTTTGATGGAGGAGAAGATGTTGGGAAGCAAAGACTCGGGCCCCAAAGAGCAGTAGAAAGTGACGACTCCAGCCAGGAAGGACCAAAACACCATCATAATATGTATATATCTGTCAAAACAGAAGAAACATACCACTATTAATAACTGAATACAAAACATTTCAGCATATAAAGGGACTAGATCAGTGTTAGGAATGCCACATATAAAGAAGCACTGATGGAGTAATAACTACTGTGCACTTACCTGTTTAAAAGCACAGTAGACAGCAGCAGGACCAGCAGCAGAAAGCAGAAGACTGGATACTGTCGGCCCAGCTCTCTGAACCGGTCTAGCTTCATCCTACGTCTTATTTTCTTCAGACAAGCCCCGATGCATCCCATCCTCGTCGATTTTAGGAGCGTGTTGCAGCCTATTGCGTTTTACTGTAAAATAAAGAAGACATCATAGAGTAACTATAAATAAATAAGGGCGTGTAGCAGCGACACATAGCAGCGTCAACTCTAAATCGTGTCATTTAGTGCTGCTTCTTTGCTTTCCATACACAGCCAGGGTTGCAGTGGTTTTATTTATCCACTCCAGCACTTACTGTAAGTGTACGGTGGGTGTTATGGGCCATTTTTCACTGTAGTCCGGCAGCGACACCATAATGAATTTGCAGAATAAAGACGCAGGCAGCCTTGTCTTTGTAGGATGAGCGTAGGAGAGGCGAAATGCCGTACACAGCTGTAAAGCCACTGCAGGATTAGAGGTAATTACACAGCATCCTCTGTGTGCTAGACGGTCCTAAAAACACTGACACTGTTTGGCTAATGGCTGCGGTGCTGTAGCTGTCACTTCTGTCCATTGAGGCGGGGGGGGGGCAACGGTTGCTGCCTGGTTGTCAGCGCCGGAGACGAGTGATGTCACCTCCGCTGTGCTCACAGCAGCAAGCGTGGTAACATACTGGCTACGGTAGTTTACAGACAAACAAGTAGCCATATCAGCTAGCGTTCCCTCCTCAGATAAATAATACATTACCCGGCGAGGGGTCCCGGTTTAAGAGCCCACGCCGAGGTGGGAGTGGCGTTCTTCCGCCATGTCGATTTATTTGTTTTTCTTTAACAGCGGACTCGAAGTGTATTAGCGTTAATATGACGTTATGGTTAGTAACTTACCACTAAAATGTACCCGAGAACACCAAGTTACAACCAGAAACCGAAAAGCCATTTTAGGTTTTTTTTTTTTTTTTTTTTTTGCTAGCTAACGTTGGCTAACCTAAGAAAGATTGTATTTAGCATAACCGCCAATTAACGTTAATTAGTTCCACTGTGGTAGCTATATCAGTGCTGTTGCTATGGTTACCTGCACATTTAGATCTGTAAGTTTAATAACTGTTGAGCGGGACTGTGTTTGAGATTTTAACGACTGCCAGGTCACCGACCAGCTAATGAGAACCTTATTTTCTACACAATAATAGCAACATATAACATCAGTTAAGCTTTAAATGTGACTAGAGACCTGTGGAAATTAGGCTAAACATCAAAATCATCGTCTGATAGGCTTTCTACTGTGAAAGAGAAAGAACCCAAAAAGTCCTTGCTCTCCACTCCACATTTTAAGCAACCATACCGCCCAATATTTGACCTTAAATGCCGTTGTGTTTTTGAAATGTCAAATAGTAAAAGGACAGGTGTAATAGCGATACTCATTTAGTTTGTTTCATACTGTTTCTAATACTGTGCAGGGCTCATTTGTATGGCTTCCTGGGACACTTGTTAATGATATACTTCTACTTGTTTTCCTCTGCTTTGATTAAAAATGTCTGCTTTATAAACTTAAGAAAATGCATACTGGTCTGTTAGAACCTGACATACCATGATTTTACTTTATACTGTATTCTTTATGGAGGCCTCTGTCATTTTCAAAGATACACACAGATATATACTTATTTTTTTTTTCTAACCAAGAACATGAAGATAGTAACAAACACAAACACAAATGAGTAGCATGAAAGATCTGCTGCCAGACTGAATCAAACACAAGCCAATTTGCATCTCATGAAGCTTTTATCCAAAGAGTAAGACACAGATAGAAATCAAAAACTTTATTACAAAAATAAGTTACACTCACCTCCATTTTACAGTATAAAACAATTTATTTGCAGGAATGCAAAAAACGTTGTTGGCCACCAACAATAGTTTAAAACTGCTAACATCTTTTTTTCAAAAGGTGGTTGTTATGATTTTATTGAGGGAGTTAACTGTGTAGAAAACTGGGATTGAAGAGCAGTTTCCTTTTTGCTATACCCGGAAATAGAAATCATTCACTGCAGTATCCCTTCTACCACTATGCGTCTATGATCCCTCACCAAATCATGGCAGCTAACATCAGGCACACATGCTCAGTGGCTGGGCAATATGGCAATTCAGTCATCCATCAAGATTAACTCAAAAGATCTTCCACATAGTTGCTGTCTTTGGGAGCTGGGAAGGGATCATTCAAGATTAACATGATTTTACATGAAGGATTGGATTAGGTTGTTTTACATTATTCTGACATTGTTTGAAAATGTACTGTCTCAATATAAAAACAAACCCACTGGAATAATACAGTGGCACAAAAGGGACACTGCAGGGCTTTATTTTTGTTTTTCATTTTTTTAATCAAAGGCAGTTGGATGCCTGTGATGTTGAAGCCTTTACAAAAGTAACATTTTATCCGAAAAACTATACAACCAGTAACTACATACTCTGAAGAAGCAAGGCGGCTAATTCAGTTCAAAATAGGATAAAAGCAGGGCTTGTTCAGACTCATCATATGAGATTGTTTTGCATGCCCAGTTTGACTGTTTGCAGTGTCAGAGCTGCAGCAGAAATGACTATATTACATTAAGTACATCGTTTTTGCGCTGCAGCTCTTGTGCATATTTTGTATGAAAACAAGCCCTGCTTTCATCAATATAGTTTCCCTATTTACAGTACAGGCCGGGTAGTTTAGTCCTCTGTACTGAGGTAGTCAACCAACCCTTTAAAAGACAAGTTCTGAAAAGAACCACTTTCCTGGAATGCCTGACTTATCCATGCCAGGTGGGTACACCCTAAAAACCTGCAAATGTTCTCTGTCAAACATCCAGATCAAAAGATTAAGATTAACATGGATATTCCGACACGATAAAAATTGCGATTAGCACAAAAATATACAATAGCATCAAGCTCCTTTGAGCCACTTCAAACCTAAGAACTTAAAAAGTGCAAATTCTTCAATAATTATTTAAAAAATGGCATGTTCAGGGACAGGGAAGGGGTAGATTGTAAGGGCAATACATAAAGCCCTGTATATCAGGGCTGGGTACAAGGGCTCGGGGCAAAAGAGGCTGTGGCGAGTATTCAGAATCCTCCGGTCATCTTTTTAAGGTGGCAGTTTCAGAAATGAATGGAAAAAAGAAAAAAAAAAAAAAAACATGGGGCAGGGGGAGATGCTTCTTCTGTAAGGCTGGAATATCATTGGACCTTTTTGTCGTGCTCTTTTTTTTCTTTAACATCCATTGCAGCTTACGGTGTAACCCCACACATCAAGTCAGTATCCACTGTGACAGGTCAGGACCGCCCTCGGCCCCGTTTCCCTGCTGGACCAATGAGAGAAGAGATAAAATTAGTACAGTATTTTGGAGGTATAAAGTTATATATATATAAATATATAAATAAAAAGAAAAAAATCTACACACCCAGTCAATTAGCATACCAACTGATTAATACAATTCCATAAAACCTAAACTGTTATGCCACTAGGGTGGGACCAAGCTGGCCTCCTTAAAAATATAGTACGTTGTGAATGACCTTTGTCTGCTGGCAAACAAGCTGACTGCTCTGAAAGATGACACCTGTCAGGGGTTACTTCTGAGGCCAATAAGCAGGTGTAATCTTTTTTTTTTTTTGGTGCAGTCTTACAATCATTCCCAACATCAAAAATAAGAATTCAAGAATTTCATACTTCCAATTATTCCCCAACTATAGCGCCTTTCGTTTATTTTGTTTTGTTTGTTTATCCACTATACCACTTCCATTCACGTCATTGCCTCTGAAATGTGTGCTTTGACAACTGGCCCACAACATATGCTGACACCAAACCAAGTGGTTGTTTTTACTGTGATATTCTAGACTTCTACAACAGCACTGACTCAAAATAAACTGAGCCACGTAGCAAGTCCTTTTACCCTAGTGAGCTGTAATGATCTGGAACAGAAAAAAAAAAATTGAGTGTTATTAGTCACCTCTGTGTGACTAATTTGATTTTAGCCACTTTAAAAAAACAGTTTCACACAACGTTTTAAATGTACCTCTGCTTGTTCCAGGGCCTCCTCGCTGGGAGAAGCCCAATCGGCCTCTCGGTGTGATGGCACCGCGGCCCCTGGTCTGACTAGCACCGCCACGCACTCCTCCCCTCCCTCCTCGTCCTCTCCCGGACCCCTGGAAGTCGTCGTAGCCATAGTACGGGTCATCATAGCCGCCCCGGTAGTTGTGGTAGTCGTATCCGTAGTAATCGTAATAGTCTTCATAGCCGTAATAGTCAGGAGGGTAAGAATAACCTCCCCGTCCACCTCGGCCTCGGCCTCTTGTGGGTGGTGGCATGTGGGGAGGGCCGTAGTAATAGTATTCATCATACCTGAAAGAGGATGCACAGACTCAACATAAACATGGCATCTTGCTTAATATCAATTTAAAATTTGATAACTGCAGAGCTAAGAGGTCATAGTTTTGCATTGTTCTCTTACATTTGTGTTTTAGCGGCTTGTCTCTGGGCTTTGCGCTCTTTCCTCTTCTGGTCAGGGGGCTTGGCGAAGACTATTTCAATGTGCTCTCCCTCGAGGTCTTTGCCATTGAGATCAGCCAAAGCCTGTGAATTTGAGCAGGATGATTAAATTACGTGTTCACTGCAATTACAACAAATTTAAGTTTTAAGATAATGTTAATTATCTTGTCTGTCTGCGCAGGGAGTTTTGTAATCTATACCTTCACAGCACCATCTCTTTCCTCGAAGTGGATGAAGGCATAATCTTTCAATTTCTTCACCCGCTCCAGCTTGCCGAACTGACTGAAGGCCTTTTCAAGTATCTCCTCCGTGACAGTACTAGCCAAGTTCCTCACAAACAGCACCTTGACCTGTCAATGGAAACACATGGTTCAGGTTCTCAGTAAATACAACTGCAGGAGACAGCGACAAAAAAAAAAAAAAAAAACTTTTGGTCAGACATACACTTAACATCGTGCTGCTGATGACCTTTGGCCTTGTGCCTTACCTTGGCCATGACCTCAGGGTCTGGGTCCTCGATGGGATCAGCCCACTCCACGGTGACCACATTTCCCCACACCTTCACCTTGCCACTCATCAGCCGGCGGCGGGCCTGAGCCGCCGTTTTGTGGTCTTCATACTCAAGGAAGCAAAAGCCCCGATTCTTCTTCTTGTCGTCTGGCTGGTGGTACAATATGACATCATTTAGACCCTCTGTAGAGACAGGAAACAGGGGAGAGAGGTGAAGAAAAGGAAGCAGGTGGTTAACTGGAGTTATTCAATAGAAATCACTTTTGTCACTTATGAGAAACACGCAACCTTAAGCGCAAAAAATGATGTCTGATTTAAAAAAAAAAAAAAAAAAAAAACTGTGCTTAGTTTTAGTGTCCAGTCAGATCTTAGCGGTAAACCGTCATAGTAACCTAAGTCACTCCAGCATACTAATGAAGTCATCATTTGGACAGAAACACGAAATACCTGTCAGATCTTCTCCCACTCTTAAATACACAACATATCTAACCAAATGTGGTCCAACAGGTAAAAAATAAAATATAAATGTAGGAACGAAGCCATTTCATATACAGAACGAGAGATCACAGGATGGTTCTGACTCACCTGTGACTTTTGCAAATTCTTCAACAATCTGCTCTTTTGTTTTACTCTTGGGGATGGAGCCAACAAACAGTCTATTATTGGCCACAGAGATGCACACACCGATGTGTTTACCCGGTCGAATTTCATTGT